AAAGCAAGTTTCTCTGACCTTGTTGTGTTTGTGTAATCAAATCGTAGCTGAAAAAAGGAAGATGATAGGTGGCTGTCATCAGCAGGGATGCAAATATAGAGGAACTGCTTACTTTTATTTATGGGGGGACATGACAATAGCAAGCCTTCAATGTAAAATAATACTGGTGGTCTGTTAAATGCATTTAGAGCTGGACTGGTTTGGTTAGAAAATATACATAATGAGTAAAACATCTATGTTCAACTTGGGTATCGTTTCTTTTAGACCACTGGGTGTTAATACGTTACACATACATAAACTTCAAATACAAATTTCACTGTAAAACTACTTCTGTATCCACTAAACAGTTGATGTGCAAGAAAAAACCTACAGTTTTTTTACTTCACCAAAACACGCGTGCACAATCTGACAACATTGCTTACCGCAATCCCTCAGCTCAATCCTGTCACAAAGTCAATCAATCCACTCTACTATCTGCTCAACTCAAAGACTACTCAGAAGGTTGAGCAAAACAGTATGTATGTATATTCAATACCTGAAGTGAAAAATAATCATCAGGACCTTTTGAGACTTCATTAAAAGAAACAAGCTTGGACTTTCCAAACAAGGCTTCTCTTTGGAGGGGGAAATCAACCTTTTCACCTTGCTGCTGCTGCTACTGCTTGTGGAAAAAACAGGCATCCCATCTGAGACAGAGCATGCAAAAACAACCTTGACTTTCATCAAGGAAATTCTCACATTGAATGATAAATACGGGCCCAGGGGACAAAGAGCAGAGCAGCAGCTTATCGCCATTCCCTCCCAAATTTGGCCGCTCTTGTGTCTCCTCAAAGTCAACACAGGGTGACCCACATGCACTTTACTGTAGTTATTGTTTGGTAATTAATCCACCATATGTAATCCATGCCAGCAAACAAAATGGTGTCTATGTATTTGGTCTTAATTAACGACAGAGTCTGTTCACTTGTTCCTACAACCCAAGACATACGCCCTTGCTTGTTAGCTTCGGTCAGCGTTAAAAAGTATACATCATTTCTCATAATGAACACACGAGTTAGGTGTGTATTGTAAAAAGTGCAATTCTGTGACAGACTGTGGACTCTAGACAATTATTTGCGTGCCCTGTTGATTGTCAGGACATTCAGTGAGCATGCAGCATTACCAAAATAGCAAGGTAACATAAGGTTAGGAAGATTGCCCAAAAGCCAACTAACTTTCCAGGTAAGAGGACGTTAACTTGATGGCCTTATAAACACGTAGCAGTAAGTGAGCAACCTATGACATGATATAATGACAAACAGCAAGTTTTAATCTGTAACCACACAAGGGACATCTAATCTAATGTCTCAAAGGTTTTCGGGCTTTCAAACAGCTGCATCCGTCACTTAAAGAGGAAGTATACTTGGTCAGTTTTTTGAAGGGAGCAATGCATTAATCATGCGATAGTCAGAAGTAAGTCAGTTGATCATTGACTCCACTCCATAAAGCTAATCTAAAACAGCACATGTCTGCCGCTTCAGTTGGATGAATGCTGGTCTCAACAGTTTTGCTTGTGCTATAGTTTCAGAGTCAATGTCATCATAAAAAGTTATGCGCAGTGAAGAAAGTCTATTCATAAATATACTGTGACTCTTTACCTGAAAAGGCTAACTATTCTAGTAAGCTATAATGACTAGAAAACAAAGTGCAAAATACATTGGTTTGGCTAAAATGTTATCATTTGGCTAAAATGTTGCATTATACCCAGAAATTAGACACCAAAAGGTGATGAGGATATACAACATTTTTAGTAGAAACGTTGTGATACGAAATATCAGCCCACTACTTATCCCAAAATGCAACATCTCCATACTATGCAGAGATTTGAAGGGATCCCATCTGGCCATTATCATCAATCGAGTATCTGTATGACTATATGCCTATATATATAAAAGTATATAAATGGGTGATATGATGCTACAAATGAAATAAACTATAATGTTGTCGCTGCTTTCAGGCTTCTGACTGGCAGTTACTTACAGTAAACTATATCTTACAGCGGAGTTAGTTAAAGTCATGCATATTTAATCGGCTTAATCAGCAACAAATTGCCTGTTAGCACTGCACAATATTGAAGCATGCACTGAAATCTGATAAGTGTGGTTATTTTTCAAGTACTGACGTCCAGCATCAATATAATGTTTTGTAAGCCTTGCTCCTCCTGCTCCAACAGCACTGTGTCTATGGTAAACAGCCTGGTGAGTCATGGTAATGTCAGAAATGCACTTACATTCATGTCAGAAAGGATAGAATACATTATAAATAGTCTTATCCCTACACTCTAATCAGCAAATGAATCTTTCAACAAACTGGCACTGATGACGATCAATACATTAGGGACATGACATTTAATACATCTCACCTTGCTTCAAACAAAGCCGTGGATTCCCGAATAGCCAAAGACGGGACATTTTCAATCGTAAGGGATTATGGAGTAGAGCGTTGTGTGTACACAGGATTGTCTTTTCAAAAGCTGTCCAAGTTCTGACAGATTCAGCACCCCAAGACCCGCAGCTCGTGAACCTAATTTCACCTAATCAGCTTAGTCAATACCAACCATTTGCTGTGACTTTGGTAGACATGCAAATAAGGCTTAACTATGTCTATCCTTAATTCCTGAATGTTCAAGTCAGGCCAAAGTCAGTCTTTATCTTTTTAAATTCAAATTTACTTAAATTTGAACAAAAGGACAAGAGGAAAAACTCTGCATAAGTTGTTTTATCCTCCCTCTCTTTCTGCCTGACACAAGGAGAGCAGGAGGCATCTCTGATTTGAGTGTGCTTGAGGTAGCACAGTGTGCTTTCATTTCAGACCAACATGGCAAACAAACTCTGACAGATTTGTTCCCGCTTTCACTTTGCTCCTGCTCATTCACTCTCAAATTATAACAAAACACGCCGCACAAGTCTATTAGTACTTCTGGTCGGTTTGTATGTCCAGCTGTACTCTTTGCACTCTGAACAAATCTGCACAAAAAGACTACAATAGTTATAGGAGATATTGTGGCAGAAAACAGTGAAGACGCCGTTCCGTTTCAATTCACTGATAGCACTAATGGCTTCTTAGCAGCTCCATGAAATCAAGCAGCTGTCATGTCGATGCATCAGCAGTGAGAGGAGGGAGAGCCATCCCCATAAGGACACAGGCACCGCGCCTTCATGTTTGGCTAAACATCTGCTCCTCTGCACTCTGCTTTGCAGCAATAAACGGCCAAACAAAAGAGGTGGGAGGTGAAATCATCAGATTTTCCATTTCAAATGCATTTCAAAGCATTTGTTCAGTTTGTTTTCTTTCCCCTCCTCATTCGTATGTACTTACTGGACATGAAGCACACCGGGGATCAAGTTTATGAGCTCAAGGACATCACAAGATAAAATAACACCTTAGTGAGGCAATGGCACAAATGAAAATAAGATCATGTTTTCCAGTCAGTGGATATTGTTTTATCAGGATTCCAGTTCTAAACTGATGTAAATGTGTAATACAGCTTAAACATAGCTGATCAGCTCTTTGGTTGTTTGTTTGTTTGTTTGACTGTCAGTATTACCTATTACAAACTAGTCACAAATTCAATCAATGTGTGTTTACATCTATAAGCGTCAAAACTATTGTTCAGTTCTTAAAGGTCGTCATTTAAATAATTATAGAATAAATCGTTAAATACATTACAGTTAACGTTGTAAATATTCTACTTCTCTTCAGATCGACCCATTCATTGAAGTTTACCAGTGAAAACAAACATAAACTTGGAAACTGCAATAACGAGGAATAAACACAAAATCGCAGTGTTGTAAGGTAGCCTGCATCGTTGTGGCAGCACAGCACCTGCCCGACCGGAAAAAATCTCAAATCTCTGTCTCAAGCAGCACGCTACATTATCTTTCTAATGTCTGTAATAGCCTCTCTCTGTTGCCACATCATGCCCTTCTTGTGGATATTCAAATCACAAATCCACTACAAACTTCAAACTTTTAATCTAAAATCGCAGCAAGAATCGCTTGTCTGTCAAACACAAACTTTGTTCAAACTTGTGGAAAAAACGTGGCTGTATTTCCTTTTTAAAGTGCTGTGGTGTGAGAGAGAGCAAGGGGTAAAAGGTAGGGGTAGTGCATGCTTAGGGGAAGACTTATAACAACCAAGATGGCGAGTGGCTTGTTGTTTTGGAAGGGGCAGAAAAAATGGAGGATATTGTAATATACACAAAGGGATAAATTTCAACAACTCGGCCAAGCGGGCGAGTGAGCGCTGTTCGGATTGAGGAAGCGACCGCTAGAGCTACTCTCCCCGATAGGCAAACCATAGAGTCCAGCTAAGCGAAAAGCTTCCAACTTTCACCAGCTCTTAGCCTTACAAACGCAAAATATAGCCCCAAAGTGAATGTAAAACGAATAGGACAGTTTGTATTTGTCACTAATTGTTATTTTCGCGTCAGGGGAATGCGCTCTAATGGACAGCGAGGACCAAATGCGCTCGTCCACTCGCCTCATAGTTACGGTGACAATTACAACATCCTTCAATCCTCGATCCAAAACGATCCGTGATGTAGTTTACCAACGATTAAAGACAACAAAACACCATCAAACATCGACAAAAGTTATATATCTAAAGCATATGTCAAGTAGTTCGCTAACACAGCAGCTTGAGTGAGCGGCGCAAGCCAAAGCAGAGGGACACAAAGACGATTCCCACTATCAGGTCATTACGCACGAGAGCAAAAACAAGTAACAAGACGGCAAACTTTACGGATTTCACTCAATTGTACGACTCCAAACTACGGGATAAACCGAGTTACCGATTCACAACAACACGCTGAGATAAGTTACGATCAAAAAACTGGTTTACGGGAGGAGAGAAAAGCCAAAAGAAACTAGAAAGGAAAGCCAAGCCGTGCGCAGCCAGCAGCTCATCGCCTGTTCTATGATGGGGGAAAGCAGCGTCATTGGAAATAAAAGCTTGCTTACCTTGTTTTAGTCACTTTACTTAAGTCCAACGTGGGTTTTTGACTTCTGCGATTACTTCTAGCAGGGTTTGGTCGTGTCTTTCCCCCGGTTTCGGCTTTGGATCAGCTGGTGGACGAGTGATATACAGGAGAATTGGGCAGTAGTAATTGAGTGTCGGTGTGTGTGAGCTTGTGTTAGTTACTCGCGGCAGATTGAAGGAGACTCTTCTCAAGGTTTATTCAGCCCCACTTCAAGGAACCGACCTGACGTCAGCTCACTACTGCCACACAATGTAAACTTACTATTTCTGCAATGGACGCAGCACTCGAAATACCCTTTTCCCCCACTAGATACATTTGACACTGATGTAGTTGTAACTTTGTTTTTGATCTTCTTGTTACTTCTCTTTTTTTATCATTTTGTCCGCGGGATATTGTCTCGTAGCGGTGTAAACAAATATTACAACGCAGTGATCTACGGTAATTTCAGGCTGATTCATGTTAATGTGTTTAGATAATTGTTACTTTTAATTGCATTATTATTATTATTATGCAAATTTGGGTAATTAGTGTGTGATAACTGTGGCATTGTTTTTGTTTGTTTTAGAGGATGTTTGTTAATACTATAATAGATTGTATTTATTTTTTTAAGTTTATCTAAGATTAGGTGAAAACTTCAACCTTTTTTCACCCCATTTTTCTTTCATATCCATAAGAGATTTGTGTTTGCATATGAATTCAGTAACACTAGCTGTGCTGTTTGTTTAGCAGGCTCGTTTGGGGGGGACAGCTGTAATAAACATTGACCAAAGGGGAAAGATACATTGTATTACATCATAGCAGAATATGCTAATTTACACCTGTAGTTCCTGGACGGTTCATGTAACAGTAGACTAACAATATGATTATGATTAGGCTCTTAGAAATATGCATAAAAAAAATAAAAATAAAAAAAAGATGTAAACAAAAATAAAATTAAAAGAATGATGTTCTAATCTGGAAACACCATTTGTCCAGTAATTCAATAGATTGTCAATTTCATAATAAAATGCACTTCAACATAAGATAATTGAAACTGCTGTGCGATCCAGTTCACAGAAAATGTTACAATGATTTGCCATTATCACTGTGTCACCATATTACATAATTATCATTCACGCGTTCATCCTTTTCCTTTTAGACGTGGGTTTGAATACAGTAGATACATTATCAGCACTGTCTGGAAAAGTCAGATCCGGCATTCAATGTGACCGTTATAACCACACTATGAAGCTGCTAAAGATGATACCAAAGCAACAACTATAATTTCCGCTTCTAACTCCAACTTGAAGAGGAGGCAATTTAGCAAACAAAACACAGAAATGGGACAGATCTTGCTCTAGATGGGATCAATACATTGCCTGGCAAAGACAGCCATCTGTGCCTAATTGTATGCTTTACCTCCTCTTCTGAACACACAATAAGCAACAGGCTGAGCACAGGCCCTCTGACCCAGACTGTGCTTCCAGACGGGGGAAGATTATTTCATTCAACTGGAAAACAACAAGGGGGTGGGGGCAGTTTTTTTTTTTTTTTTTTTTGCAGATGGAGAGGGCAACTGTTCTTATAACTACGCCCCTCCCTCAAAAAGGACGGCAAACTGGGTTGTCTCTGCGTGTCACATCAGCCATGCTTGTATCCATTTTAACAGGTATTACAGAGGATTAGCATACTGCTCGGTGTTACTTTATAGACATCCCATAAATCACACACTGACAATGAACTCATTGTTTGCCACATGATAGAGAGTTGGTTTACAGGCATGTTCTTATTAATGCTTCATAAACGCTGTAAATGGCCCTAAACGCCTTGTTTCATGTTTGTTTAGCAGTGCTCATGGCATATAAACACGTCAGCCTATATCATTTGCTTTGACACTCAAGAAGAGATACAAAAGTGGGGTGATAAAAGTTTCAGAATTGCTGCGGGTAAGAGCTTGGTCAAGAAGAGCGAGGATTCAGGTTGTGTGTAGTTATGGCCATTTTATAAGCTTGCTCTCCATGTTGCTGTGCTCATTGATTTTTTTCTCTCTCTGCCCCTTTCCATTACCTGTTGAGATGGGGGGGGGGGGGGTTTGCTCATCTTCCACACAATCCCCCCATCTCTCTTCAGCCACTGGCACCCTGGTGTATTCCTCCATCTCACCCGCCTCCTCTAGTGGGAATGACAGGCCGTGAGCAATGACATCGGCTCTGTTTGTCATACAGTAGCAGCGAGAAGCAGGGATTTTAATTGCATTGGAGAATCTTCATTAAAGAGAGCGCATGGGGGCGGCGCAGGGGGAAGAGGGCTACATGGGGCGGCGTGAGGGGGCACTCTGAGCATCGTCATTAGAGAAGGCACTAGCAGCATAAGAAGGGTGGGCCCTCTTTGCATGCACACTGAGAATGCCTGCCGTACCTCGGTCATTTGTAACATAATAAGTGCCAGCACAATGACTGCAATGCGAGAAAGCACACCACAGGGAGGAGAAGGGGGAAGGGAGACAGCATGTCTATCTAAAAGAGGGACTTTTTTGTCTTGATTAGAAAGTATAATGAGTCACTAAAGAAACAGAGGAAAGATCTCTCCTGAGACTGATGGAAAACAAATTAATCTGCTGATTTGGATTTAATTATTATTTTTCTATTAGTCCAGTGCTCAAAGACAGGGACAGCCATCAGAAGCGAGGAGCTGTGCTTGCATTTATTGATTTTAGCCTGGACACATTCAGGGAATACAGATTCATCTGCGAGCCGCGCCACACACTTCACTGTGTGCGATTCCATTAACACAAGAAGCTTCCAGCAACTCAGACTTGTTTCATTTGAGCAACATAAATTGAGCCTAAAATACTGTTCTCACACAAAAAGTGGCCTAAGGATGTCTTTTGTGCAATTGAATTAGGAATCATTTACTGTTGTGTCTAACATACTAAGTATTAAATAAACACCCAATACATTTAATTAATCTGTACTACAGTAAAGCCAACGCCATTGTTTCTCACCTCCTCAGACGGCATTCAGTGCTTAATGTATAATTTAATCTTTTGTTTGCATTAATGAACAAAGCCGTGCATCGAGGCAGTCATTAGTCTTCCTGTCCATGTAGAATCTGTCTTTGTAGGTTTCTTTCAATATAGTCAGTAGTCCTGAACACAATGTTCGGTGAGATGTAATGATTTGCTAAGTCAATGATTTCAACTATCGCTGTGATTAAAGCACAAGGGACCAATTTGCCCGGGTTGTATGTAGAATATCGGTGTGCCTCATATTCTCCCCATTACATCAAATTCAGCAATTATGGCAGATGGACAAAGTTATTGATCAGTGTCCTCTATCCCTCACTCACAGGGCTTTGCAATAAATATAATGGCTGTGAGAGAGGAGGGCTCATCACAGATATTTTAGTGGTCCAGCGGTGAATGGGGATGGATGTGGCAGTGAAATATGCAATAATCCCTCCTCTTTGACCCCAAAGTCAACTGCAAGAAGACAGGTGGAGGGTAGGGTGTGGGTTTGACTTAAGCTTACACAGAGTTTGTTTGTGAAAAGTTCATCTTTAGTCATTGCAGTGATATTTCAGATCACTGCAAGAGAAATAACCACATTATGGACTGGGACGAGGCGCGGGTCATCAGATCCGAAAACAACAAATACCAGCGCTGGATTAAGGAGGCCATTGAAATCAGGAAGCGGGGCAACAACAGCATCAACCGAGATGAGGGAGCTTTCCTCCTGTCCCACACATGGGACACCCTCCTCCACCAGGCGAGAGGGGGCGTGGTCAGTCTAAGCGACCTGCCAGGTCTATCAGGCTGACCACGCCTACTCAGGAAGTAACATCAGCTGATAAATGACACGTCACCAAAGGCAGGTGACAGTTCTAAAGATGGCTCGCAGCTCTGCAGCCGAAACATGTTAACAAGGTAATACATCTAAACTTGTCTTTCAAAAGAACCAAAAACATATATTTGTCTTTAGTCATTTATTTTCATTCTGCAAAAGTGATGATTGTCTACTCAAGTAAAACTTTTACTAGTATTAGTATTACAGTTCACTTTAGCAACAATTATTACAATTACAACATCGACTACATTACTGTTGTGCTTCTAGGTCTAGGACAACTATTGCGACTTTAATATAGGCGCAGTTCTTTTAGTTAAAATGTCAGGTTTGCAAATGCAATTTAGGTCCAACATTGAAAATCTTCCAACTCTGAGATGTATTGAAAAAGGATAAATAAGTACTGTAATAACTGGACATTTAATCAAAATATAATTATGATTGGTATAATCATGTCTCATCAGAAATTATATATTAATAATCTGGAGGCCGTAAATTCTTGTCAGTAAAAGCAAGTGGTTTGGCGGCTTCCCTTGTAAAATCCTCACTATAAGTATTTATAAGGAAATAAACGTCATTGTTGGCCAGTTCTATCCATGAGTTTATGAATCATGTATTATTAAACAAAGCATAAAACAATGTCAAAGAGACTCATGTTATACTGTACAAAGTGAGTTGTTGAAGTTAGGGCTGGGCCTTTTTTATTTTCATGTTTTATTTAACCTTTATTTAACCAGGGAAGTCCCATTGAGATTAAGAACCTATTGTTCAAGGGAGACCTGGAATCAAGGAAAAAAAATGAATCAAAATGTTTCTGTCCCGACTGACCAAATGTTATGTCTTTATACTTTTCTTACTGTACTTAAAAACCTATTTACTTATTTAACAATGTGTATGACTTCAGCAAATCCCTGAAAGGCATGAGTGAGTAGAGAAATATACTGCCTGTGAAACTACTCTTCAGCCCCTTGTTACTGCTAGTGATGCATTTTATTTATCCGTTTTTGTTTTATAGATGGCAATCGTTCATATATATATCATTTAGAAATAAAACAATGAAATGATTAAGAGAAGATGAACAGAGGACCGCACAACTCACACGGTTTTAAAAGCCAGAGGACAAACGTGGGTCGTAAGACGGGGCTTAAAACATCCCAACGAGGCAGCTGTTATAATAGTTAAAAATAGTTCCTATCATATCATTCTAATTAGAAATAACAGCATCAATCAATATTATTTGAGGAAGTAATACCATAGCATAATAATAAAATAAATATTGCCCTGTTTTCCTTGGTCTGCAGCCTTCAGTACAGATAAGAAGATACATGATGTCTGTCAATTTGAATGCTGATAATCACAACCTATCAAACTTTAGATTTCTATTTTTTGATCTTTCCATTTTTGACACAGCTTTATTTGTAGTTTGGCAGTTAAAAACATTGTACTTGGAAAACGCATCTTATACTTTGCAATCACTAGTTCGATTTGTGCCACTTGGTTCCCAGAATGGAACAGAGACACAATTCAATGTGCATTTCTTGCATTAGAATCATGTTAGACAAATATTTACGAGCTTGAACTTAATGTACTGTTTTTCTGTCAGTATGCACAAATGAGCTTGATAAAACATTCGGGTGGATCCAGTAAAATGTTTTATAAGCTTGGTTGACTAACAAAGCTGTGCTCCCTTGACACAAACGAGTGTGTGGTGGAGAATATTTTTTATTATGGCAAATGTAACTGAGCAGAACCCTCTGTAGCATGATGTAATCCACAGAAGGGAGAAATCATCATAATGGCAGCGTATCGTGGAGTGACTCACAGTCGATGAGGTACATTCACACTGTCATTCACTGACGAGCTGCAGTCTGCGCGCACATGTTGCTGGAGTGTGACCGACGAAGGGCGAGAGACACTTGGACAGACAGATAAGGGGAAAGAGAGACCGCACCGCACAACTACTGAGCTTCTTCTGGGAACGAGGTAGTCATTTGTGCCAGGAAAAAATGAACAAACACTTCTCCACTGCGATCCATCTCACCCTCTGAAGATTGAGATCACAAGCAAATGTCACCACTGCCCGATAACGTCAAATGACCTCGAATCATATCTTTTGAAAAACACATCTTGATCCAAATATCAGCAGGTTTGTCCACAGGTTGGTTGAGTGTTGGTATGTTGGAGTAAAGTAATAAAAACATTTTTTAACCAAGTCCTCTTGACTCTGAGAAGGCCTTAGTGTCCAACAGACGATCTTAAAAGAGTTTTTGCGCTCACGTTTTAATCACGTTTGAGGTTCGTCTTTAACCCTCCAAATACCAACTCTACACCAACCACTGTATGTTCCTCCTTTCTCCTACAGCCGGCATGTCCAAACTCAGGCCCGCGGGCCAATTGCGGCCCTCTACGTATGCCATTCTATGTGGCCCTTCTGCTGCTAACACAAAGTCGCCATTGAGGCACTTTGACAGTGTCATCTAAAGGCCTGTGTACACTCGCACGGCGCTGCTTACAGTTGCGGTTACATTGGACCTACGTAACCAGTTTGTGGTACACTTGCGCGTTCCCGGAATGTTGTAATCCCACAACCAACCACGTGATGGCGAACTCACAGGAGTTGCCTAACCAAAGCGGTCCCATTTGTGCTGCTACTTTCTCCTCTTCAGAACAAAAACAATAGTGAAGCTGTTTGAGATCATTCCATGTGTTTCTACTGTAGGTTTATGTGACCGTTCTATGGACTCATCGTTTCAACTCATTTAACTGTGATGCTGTGAATAAAGACACAGTTCTTGTTGGAAACATAGTTATTTTTCAAAGTGTATTCAGCACAAACAGCAGTGGTAAATATCTGAGACAAATATGAACTATTTACAAGTGCAGGAGGAATGCAACATACGCGATGAGCTACGAGTGGAGCTAAGACAGGAACAGAGCAAAAGAAACGACTGTACAGTTTGGGACCATAAGTTAGATATCCAACAGAACTGAACAGTCCACAGTCTCCGCGTATATCAGGCTCTGCCATGAACCCAAACTACTTTTCCTTCGGTTTCTTCGAAGCACAAAGCAGTCTGCTCCGAGGGCCTTGTCCATGCTTCCTTCCAATACACACGGACCAATCACAGCGGAGCTTCCTTACGGCGACCCTTACGTAGTTAGAAATTTTCAAGGGTGCGCAGCAGGCGACGTAAGGGCCTTGCGGTGATCCACGCGTTGTGCAAGTGACGTCACGTCACCACCGTAAGGTCCGCGCAGCGCGACTATACACTAGGCTTAAGGCTGCGGTCACATGCAAAGCCTAAAGCCCGGTATAAGTGGGCCAGGGCCCGATTAGATCCGGGCTTTAGATGCTATGTGACCGCGGCAAGTGGGCTTG